AGATTTGATGCAATTTGGGAGGCGGGGCCCTTCCCTTCCTCAGGTGAGAGGAAGGAAGATGTAGGTAAGGAGGAGGAGCTGAGGGTGAGGTATTACTGCTGGCAGAAGGCTGTTCCTGGGACTTTTGGATTGGGTTTGCTCCCAAGTTGAGGACACACTGAGGTTAAGCAGCTGCTCAGGTAATGGGAACAGGTCTCTGGCAGTCCATGGTGTGGGATGCCTGGGAGGGTGGCTGTACAGGGTGGAAATGGTGGGTTTCTTCTGTGGTGTGACCAAGCCTGTGAGTGGTTGCCTCTGCATTGTTTACCCAAAACGGCCCAGGAGAAGGACACCTGGGTGGCTACCACTGTTCCAGAAGCAGAGCAGGCAGGTAGCATGTTAGCAAGGTGCCTGGTTTATTTTGGGAGGCTTTTTGGCTGAAGAGGGGGCCTGTGAGCCTGAGGGCTGTATTACCCCCATGGTGAAGAGTTGCCCCTGTGCCCTCTGCAAGGACTGAGTGGCAAAGAGCTGAGACCTTGCTCATGTTTGGGTGAGTAGTGGGGGAGGCCCCTCTTCTCCTGGGGGTTTATTTGATGTGTTTGGCTTGGTGTCCTTGGACTGGCTTGCAAGCCCCTTTCTCCTGCCCTATCCACCCATTAATCTCTTTTCAAAGTGTAACTAATTCCTCATCTCCATAATAGATCTGCTCCATTTGAGGCTGGGATGAAGACCATGAGGAAAAGTCTGAGTCTTTCTTCCTTTTCCTCCTCTAGCTTTCCTAGATGAAGTCCACAGAGAGTTAAACTTACTGAGCTGGAAACTGTACTGTATTCTTGCTCCCAATGTCCTGAACTCTGAAAGCAGATCTGAACTCAGACATGGGCTCCCTGGGCCACAGCTTGCTGCAGGCAAGATGGGAGCTGGGCTAGGCGTATGTGGTGATGCAGCAAGGTCCACCTGAGCTTTTGGGCTCTCGTGCATGCTGCCAGCATCCCCCTTCCTTCAGCACCCGGGTGCCGCAGCAGGGGCTGGGGGAGTATGCCCAGAGCCTGCAACAGCACCTGGGTTTGCAGGGGATGCCCTGGTTTTGGGGGTGTGCTGCAGCACGGGCCCCATGGCGCTCAGGGGCGGGGGAGTGTTCTCTCCATTCCACTGTTTCAGGTCCATCCCAGCACATATCCTGGGCTAATCCTAGCTGAGAGCCTGTTGGCACCACCTCTGAAGCGTGGGGGCTGGCCCTAAGCACTCGCTCCTGAAACCTGCCCCCCCCCCCCCCCCGCCCCCCGCCCCGGGAGG